ATGTAAATTTATTAAAAAAATGATTTGTATTTTATAGTGTTGTTAAGAAACACTTTTAATAGATAGGTACTTACAAAATAATAATAAATATAAATATGTTATAATACTATTTGCCCCCCATTCTGAAATACTGCGCATGGGCCTGATTCGCAATCCTTTCCAAAAATTGGATTATCGTTAACACGATAATACGAAATAACGAACACAGATAATGTTCTTAAAATCTTACGATAAGTTTCATAATAGGTTGATTCGTTAATACACTAATACCGTGAAATTATTTGAGAGGGCTGCGGATAAAGATTAAGGCGCTCTGCAACAGCGGCTGTCGGGGATAGAAGATGACGAGTCAACGAAAGTGTTATTATAAAGAACTTACTACTCGTACTGCACTTGCGCTACTGCCTACTTGCCTACTTCGGACCAGTGATTACTACAACTTACAATAAGCGTATACAACATAGCTGAATTCGAATTTCGAATTCAATAACTGTTCAATAACTTAGTTCAATTTAGATATTTAGTTTGCATATAGTTATTGCTTATTTAGGTACTGTTTATTATTTGGAACTAGCAACTGTTATAAACTAGATAATAATATGGAACATTCAGAATTTGTACTCAAACTTCAAATGGATCCTAATCTAGGTATAATTGTAGGGAAAGTCTAGGGAAACCTAGTATGGGTAGTCTATATAAGGTTGAAATTTTAATGAATGATGATTGTATTACAAAATATTCTAGATGCTCTTGCCTTCTAGAGACTCATTATAATCTAAGTTCAACTGATAAACCTTGTTTGTTGAGTGTTAGAAAAAATAATTTGTATACAGAAATTAAAATCATTAATCAAATACATGGAATATGGATAGTAGGTAATGATTTTCCAAACACCATTGTTTCAGAAACAGATATAAATATTTTTAAGGAGGAATCATCCAATTTACTATTTAGCAGAACCTGTAGGTTTTCCTTGGTTGTTACAACCTGAAACAGAACCATTTGAAAATAATGTGATATTAGTTGAGGCTATTTGTAATATGGTTCTTGATCCAGAAATTAGAAGTTTAGTTAAAATATTTTATTTCTCTTAAAAAGTTGTTATACACTAAACTCCGTATTAATGACAGTACTATATTACAGTTGGTTAAAGACACTACAGGACGGCAAAAAAATCTTTTATGGTTTCTATTATAGTGATTATAGGCAACATAGATTGACAGCTAGTAATTTTGGAAAAGTGATAGCTGCTTGTAAAAGAAATAAGTTCCCAAAGTCATTATTTAAATAATAATAACATTACAGGTGTGCATGCTGTACAATGGGGTAATACCAATGATGTTTGTGGTATTAAGGCCCCAGTAAAATACCAAAATGTAAATGTAATACCAACTGGGCTGTTGTTATAAAATTGTGGATTATTAGGTGCTACACCAGATGGACTTGTTAATTCAAGTCATATTCTAGAAGTTAAATGTTCGTGGAAGTATAGGAATGCAGTTCTTGAAGTTGAAATTACAAAAAATCATGATTATATTTTATATGAGGAAAATAATTAATTATTTGTAAATAAAACACATTCATATTGGGACCAGATTCAAGGCCAACTATAAAAATTGTCAATTATGTTATTTGGTTATTTGGACTCCTAAACAGGCATTAATAACAGAAATCAAAAAATATGTAAAATGGATAGACAATTTAGAAAATCTGGAAACATTTTTTTTATTGAAAAACATTAATCAATATAAACCTTTATTTTGTTGGTATGTACTATATATTTTTTTAATATTGGTTAGAATTAAGAATACAAAATTAAGTTTGGCTGATGAGTGAAATTTTTTGGTTTTAAATATTTATTCTAACTCTATTTTATAATTCATTAAACAAAAATTCCAGAGTTTATTATTGATATTTATTATACTATTGTCTATCACCTACTTAAGTACCTAATGTACATGATTGAATATTAATGATATAAGTATATCAATGAGTATAATTTAAAAACATACCTATAATAATATAAAAAGTATATTAAAAAAAATAAAAATTAACTATTACTATTTTTCTTTTATAATAGTTTACGCTAAAGTTCTTAATGATAATGAAAAAAAAAAAAAATTATTTATATTAATATTAAATAGAATAAATAAAAAGCAATTCTTAAGATAAATTTTTTTCTTTTCTTTAGGACTTTAGCCAAAGTTTAGGAATCTAATTTGAGTTGTAAGTGTAGCTTAAGCAGGCACGTAGCCAGGGGGGCCTGGATGGGCCGGGCCCACCCTAAATATACTCTGGCTCAGGGCCCCCCAAATTCAAAATATAATTATTTTTACCAATTATCAAAAATGTGATTATGCACATTGAGAAAAATCTACTATGATTACTACTAGGTAATATAATTATTATTGTAATAACTGTGAAACTAGGAACTGTGGATAACTTTCTCTAAAAAAATTAATATAATAGGGTCTTGATACCTGTTTTATAAACAATAATATGCTAGCTTCAATATTTATATAAGTATAAGTGTATTATTAATGTTTTATACTAGTATGTGTTTTTTTTAAAAATAAATTTGAGTTTCTTTAAAAATTATATTAATTTAAAAACCAATGATCATTTATCCCTATTATTTTTGATAAGTATTCAAATATAAATTAATTTTTGTTAATACAAGTTGAACAATTGAAGCACCTTATTATTTTAAATATGTATGTAGATTTATTTTTCATAGCATGATAAATGTATCCCATAAGTGAAGATGAAGGTAATTCTATATTTATTTTTTTTATTATCAGGTAGGTACCTACTTTCTATTTTTTCAATTCTTAAATAGGTGAGTAATAGGTATAACTTGTTGTGAAAAAAAAAAATTTTAACCAATTAAGTACCAACTAAAGGTAAATTATTTAAATTAACAAGATTCTTTGTATTGCATACACCCTACAAGAATTTCATAAAGACAAATTATGAAAAATAATAAAAGGGCCAAACATTATTGGCCCATCTAGTAGACATTTTCTGGCTACGTGCCTGAGCTTAAACAATACCTACTTATTCTTAAGCATCGACTATGATGACTACTTTTTATTTTTATTTTTAAATATTATGTTTAGTTTTTAAAAGAATGAGCATGTCTTTAACTATTTTACATTGAAAAAAATGACTGTTGGAACTTATAATTATTATTCCATTGACAATATTTTGATTTAATGTTTATTAGATTTTTGTGTTGGCGGAGTTTTTCAGAAGTTGTTATTATTATTAATTATGAATGGTTTAGTACTTTAATTGTAACATGTTTTTTTGTCTTTCAAAAATGTAAAATATTATATTAACACTAGTAATAAATTAGTAGATACCTCAAAATAATAAATATTAAATTATAATTAGGTATGAGTTGATAAATATAATTATGAATGGTATAAAAAATGGTTAGCATGGTTAGGTACCTATATACAATTATATTACACACAAAATATAATTATAACTGTAGTTTTTTAGAATAACTTTTTTCTTATTTTATCGTTGATATTTTCCCTTAATTGTTTTTTTTTTTAGAATAATTATTTTTTAGTATCTGTGTACTAGTTACTATAACTATATTAGCAGCTGACATTAATTTAAAAACAGAAATACGTAAAAAAATTATATTTTGTACCCACGCATTTTAATTAACAACTAAAATATGTTAATAGGTATACTTCTGGAAATATATTTTCTAATATATAATTTTCAGTTAAAATATTTCCTTGGAAAATATTTTATGCAAACATTTGTTATGCATCATAACGTTCTGTAAATTTGTGTTCTGTTATATTCCATTCTGGAATAATACACTCAGCAGAATTTCTGCAATATTATTTTCTGTATGTTTACATTCTACTGATATATATTCTTATCAGTTTACATTCTGTAATATTTATTTTCGTTCATATTATTTTCTGTTCAAATATTTTCTGGGCTTTTTATATTCTGGTTTTTTTCAATTCTGTAATATTATTTTCTGTAAATAAACATTCGACAAATCTACATTCTGGCCGTTTTTTTTCTGGAACATTATATGCGTCCGTTTACCATAATAATATATCGTCATTATCAACGCGTATCGTCCGATTATCATTTCATTACCAATAATAATAATAACAATATAAAAACTAGTAATAAATAATAATAATAGTGTTTTTCGTTCTGTGGCGTCGGGTTTAATGTCATTTCGCGAATCTCTCCGTTCGGTCTTCCGATCGAAAAACTAGCACGCGCGGAACTGGTTTCGCGACTGCGCCGCCGACTGCAACTACTACGACGACAACACAGCCTAAATTGTGTCTCGCGTTCGCAGAAAACAAATTCCGCTGCGTACGCGATTTGTGAAATTTTCGTCCGTCGCTGTTATGACGGATCGTCGTCCGACGAGATCCCGATTCGCCGAAAACCGTTCCGGTCGTCCACGCCAACCCGGGAATACCGGTGGGTAAGCATCTGTGAAATTTATGCGTGTTCCCAGTATCCGTGTCATCATCCTTCGCTGCCCCCCGACGATCACCTCAGTCTCTTAAAAGTTTCGTCGTTCGATCGTTCGATATTATGTTCGCGAAACGCACATCGATATTCGCCCTTGGTAAGCAGATCAAATGTTTTCCCTACACCCACCATAATAGATGATTTCCTGATAGAGACCATATTATTGTGTATCAGACACACGAGTGTAGGTGTGTGTTGTTTGAATGCACTCGCGTGTTTGTGTGTGTGTATGCGTGTTCCTCGAATGTGGGTGTGTGATGATTCATACTTGCTGCAATATGAACCAATCCTAATGTTGCAATAACAAAATACAACAGTCCTAACCTACTGTTACATATTTTATTAATCACTGTTTCATAATTTTATTATGTGTGCACAGATCAAACGGTCATTAATCGCAGTGAATCAATGTTCTGTCACGGATAGATTGGATCAAATGGTCGTTGGCCAATCTTTGAACAAACACTGGAAAAATGGATCACGGGTATCAAAATACCGGCAGAACCCATGTAAGTCACTTATAACTTGTAGGTACTTTATAGTAATAAAGTTTAGTCTACGGCCTACTCTCTCGACACTGAACCAGAATAATGTCGCGTAACTGATTTTACTGACAAACCGTCATTGGTAATTTTTAGTTTGGAACAACTCCTCAACAATTGGTTACACACTCGTTTTGCGACAGAGCTTCGCCAGTGTCACCCGTCACAAACATCGGAAGTTACACTTCATTTGTGCAACACGTAAAAGATGACAACAATATGAATTCGTTACAGCGCAAAGCACAAGTGAAATTAAATGCCATGCCGTGAGTACAAACGATCATATTATATAACTAATTAAGTACATAATTTTGTTTTATTCTCAATAATAATTATAGTCTTTGTTGTTGTGTGAATAAAAATGGTAGGAAAATGAAAAATTAAATTAAATACATTTTTTAACTGATTAAATTTCACAAAATATACAATTTTAGAAAGAAGTAATTACATTTACTTTTAATAACATTGACCATTTAATCTTGTACTTTACTTAAGCTATTAAATGATAATATATTGGTTTAGTAAAATTAATTTATAATTATTTCTGTTATTTATGCAATTCTAGATGGTTTCATGGAAAAATATCAAGAGAGATGGCTGAAGATTTGCTAACACCAAAAGAAAATGGTCTATTTCTGGTTAGAGAGTCTACTAACTATCCGGGAGATTATACACTTTGTGTTTGCTACATTGGTAAAGTGGAACATTACAGAGTAAAGTATAAAGACAACCAACTTACAATCGATGATGAAGAATTTTTTGAAAATCTATCCCAATTAGTCGAAGTTAGTAAATTTCAACCTATTTCTTGAATTTTTCAAGAAATAGAAAGACATTTAATATTTTTAACCTGCCATCACTCACGCTGGGTAAATTGTAAATTAACATTTCAAACTAACCTTAATAGTACTGAGTCTATACATTTTAGTATCTAAATACTACTACTAGTACTGAGTCTATACATTTTAGTATCTAAATACTACTACTACTACTACTATTTAGTACTTAGTATGTCTAATAATGTTTAGGTGTATATTTGAAGTTTTTTATTTATTTTCTTTTATTTATTATTTTATAATGGGATAAATTTTTACCTCTGGCATTAAAAACCAAGCGAGTGGTGACAGATTAATTTGATTTTTACTTTTGCAAAACATAATTGTGTATGTATATATTTTAGCACTACCAAAAAGATGCTGATGGACTATGTACACAATTAACCAAGAGTCTACCTAAAAAGGGTAAACAAGAATTTTGTATTGATACCAAATCTTTTATTGATGCCGGATGGGTTATCCAAGAACAGGAATTACAGGTTTGCCAAAGTAAAATCTATTTATTTGATGCCTTATTAAATTAATCATGTTTTTATTCTCTAGTTAAACGAAACCATTGGCAAAGGGGAATTTGGTGATGTATTATTGGGAGTGTACAGAGGAGAAAAAGTAGCTGTTAAAATGTTGAAAGACTCTAGTGTAGAAGCCCAAAAATTCCTAACAGAAGCTTTACTTATGACGTAATAAATTAAAATCGGTCTTATTTATTAAATATATAAATTATTATATAGCATATTTAATAAAAAACAAATTACATAGACAATTTATGTGTTTGTTTGTTTATCAGGTCTTTGAGGCATGAAAATTTGGTTGAACTTCTTGGACTCGTATTAAATGAAAAACATTTATTGCTAGTTACTGAATACATGGGTAAAGGTAGTCTTGTTGAATATTTACGATCAAGAGGAAGACTTCATGTTACCAAAAAAGATCAAATTAATTTTGCTGTGTAAGTTATTATACATTTTAAAATGATGTATTGATTTGTCATTTAGTTAATTGTATGATATAAAAAAATATTTTAGTGACACGTGTAGCGGTATGGAGTATTTAGAGTTTAGAAAAGTAGTTCATAGAGATTTAGCAGCTCGAAATGTTTTAATATCAGAAGCCGGAGTAGCTAAAGTAGCTGATTTTGGATTGGCACGTGAAGAAAATTATATTGTGGATGCTGGAAAATTGCCCATCAAGTGGACTGCCCCTGAAGCACTTAGACAAGGAGTAATTTGAAATAGCAAATATTTACAATGATTAAGATTTAAATTAATTTAAAATATTGGATGAATTTTTAAAAATTGCTCCAGATGTTCTCAAATAAATCAGATATGTGGAGTTTTGGAGTTCTATTATGGGAAATTTATTCTTTTGGTCGAGTTCCTTACTCTAGAATAGTAAGTGTTACATTATTTTAACTTGTTTGATTGTCGGTCAATATTAATAATTAAAATGTTCATTTTTACTAGCCATTAATTGACGTAGTAAAGCATGTAGAAAAAGGTTATCGTATGGAAGCTCCTGAGTGTTGTCCTCCGGAAATATATGAAATCATGAGACAAGTAATTATAGTTTTGTGATGCTATTAATATTAAGATTCAATATTATTTATTGTTTATACTTTTATAGGCATGGGACTTATTTCCTGAACGAAGACCTACGTTCAAGGATGTTAAGACCAAACTAGCACAATTAAAAGCTGTAACTATTAACTAAAAGTTGCATTGACTAATGACTAATGTATAATAATATATATGTGCACTAACTTTGTTAATATCTGTATAGTATCAAATTTAATTAATATTTATGAGCTAGTCTTTATTTTATCAACCTTCAGTATTTTTTATTCTTTAGTGTTTTTTGAAATTATTATTGTAAACTATTTAATATTTATACAAAATAAATGCATTTAGTATTGGTTGAGGTAGATTTTCAAACTTTTAACAGAGTCACATAACTACTTCAATGTTGAACGTTGAATAATGTTTGGTATCACATATTAAATATAAATGTTTTATAACATGATCGCATTGTTTATATACATTTAATCAAAAGCATTTAATTTATATAAAACGGGATCTTACTATTAAACAATATATAAGCTTATTTAATATACTTATAATCAATTAATTTGATATCATATTAATAGTCTTTTTGGGTATTAACATTTGGAAAATAATATACATATTATATTGATATTCTATCAATTGCTGTATTTATCAAAGACAGTGTTATGTATGGTTTATACGTGTGATATTTAGTCATATCAGGAATTAATACTGAATGTATATACCATTTTTAATAATTTTATTCATCAAGTCAGTTTATTTATTGCATTCTGATTATCATTAAGTATGTTAAAAAATTGAATCAATACTTCACCAATACTAAGCATTTTAATATAAATTTTATTATGATTGTATTTTGGGCTTGATGGTGTTTTTCTATTTGTTTTCTTCAATTGTATTTCGTTATTCAATTGACAGGTTCAATATTTTAAAATACTATTTTGCAAAAAATCAACATCAAACTCATCTCATTGCAATAAATTGATTTACTCCAGAGAAAAACGTAACTTAATATGTTAATTATTTTATATGATGTAAGAGTTATTTTTTCTAGTAGACCATTTATTATTAAATTATTATTTATTTGTCATTGAACTTTACTATATTTATAGCAATTGTAACTTATCTATTAGTAATTGGTTTAAATTTTAATCAAATACTTTCTATAATACTTAATAGATACATTTGCATAGATTTTACTTTTTAGTTTGCTTTATATTTTTGAATCTAATTGTAAGTATGATGTAATATATTATTGATAATCTTTTCAAAACACCAAACTTAGAAATTATCATTCCAATTGCTTACTAATAAATAATAATACTGACTGATTAAAATAGTATGTTACTATAAAACACTAATATTGTTGGAAGCCCACTACAAGTTTTTAAATTTACACTAATTACTGCTAAAAATATATTTCTAATAAATGTTAAAAGATTTTTTATTTTACAAGTCATTTGTAATATTAAATTACAAAACACGAAATTATAATGTCACTAATTAATTTGTATTAGATAGAAGAAATAATAATCAATTTTAATGTTTTTTTGAATTATTTATGTCAAATCTCTTAAATGAGATATATCTAAGATAAATTGCCTTATTTGACATAACGTATTGGGAGTTTGGACGTAAGAAAACTTTTAATATTTGATTTGTTTTAGGTAAAGGTTTTATATTCAAAACTATGTAAATATTACTGTATTTTACTGGTGTATTTGTTTGTTTGTTTGTTTTTTTTTTTATTTACTTGGGTAGCTTTATTTACCAAAAACTTTTGGTTTTTGTACTCATATGTTAATAAGTTTATTATGATAATTTTTATTTTAAGAAAATTTTTTTTTTTGCTACCCTATAATATATTTTTTTTAATCTAAAATAAATTGATATTCTCTCAATCAATAAGTGTTATAATTTTTAATTTACAAAATCTGATGTGTTGCTGTGTATCTGCTTATTTTGTTTGCTTGTACTATACTTACCTTACGAGTGGAAATACCAATTTAACGTGACTAACTATTTAATTGCAATAAACATGTAACTATATTAACTGATTAATTACGGTCTTATTAAAACTTTTTTTAAATTACAATTGACTATAGTTTTCAGCTGGCTTTTAAATTTGAATATGTTCGTAATGATAGAACTTTGAACAGTCATTATTTGCATTTTCGCAGCCCTATATGTCACCTATGAAATCATTCTTATTCAAGGATGAAGTCTACTTGTCCTTCAAATTGCGTGAATTTATTAGTGTAGATACCAGAGAAGGACACTTTTTGTAATAATTGCAATAACTGTTAAAATAATAATTATTATTAAAATTATTTTTGTATACTTATTACTTATACCCAGTTTAAAAATGTTCAAACTATTCAAATAAAAAATGATTCGAATATTTTTAAAATACAACTATTCGAATAACTTGTTTAAAATTGATCAGGATAATTGTGTTTCAAAACTATTTGAATATTGTTAATAAATCATTTGAATAATTTTTTTACGATGAGCCCATAATGTACGTTGTCTCAGTCTTACTAGTCTATAAGTACTAACAAAGAAACTTTGGGTTCAAAAGAATCAATTTTGTGTATTTGCTTTTAATATTGATGTGAATTAGTAGACTGGTATCTCAAATTTAAGAGGATTTGTTTGAGGATTTTGTCTCCGTCTTACAAACGCTTGACATAGCAAATTTTACCTACGTTCTGAATAATTAGTTAACTCTATTATAATATGTTTGATTTTAAAGTGAATTGACCTAGTTCAAAATTTAGAAACAGGAATGTTATCTAGGCCAACGACTTAGGTTTTTTTTTCATATTTTAATGCCAGTTATATGATAGCTTTTTAAAACAGTGTCCTCTTAACCATCGATATGATCATAATAATATATGAAATGATGACGACGGTGTATTTATTTCACACAGTATTTTGTATCATATATATATTAATAATAATTACTACATAATAATATTAAATATTGTACACTTAGTTATAATACATAATAGAAACGGTGCGTTATATTTAACTATACGGTAACCAGTCGCACACAACAATCTTTGGTTTAGTCCGGATTTTCCGTTTCTCGTGACACGCATTATTCCTTTCGTGTTTTCGTTGTATAATATAATATGTCTTCGTGTCGTTTTCTCCGGTTCTCCGTCTCCTGAAATCCAATAGACCAAACAGTTGAGCACGGACATTTCAGAACAATAATACATAATATAGCGCAGGAAACGGCGATTATTTTACTTCTCACAACTATCGATACCTATTCCTTATGAGTTATAACCTAACCTATACGCCTGAATCGAATTACATTTTAAATATGTAGACATTTTTTCCAAAATCTTATGTGTTCAGTTGATTTAGAAACAAAAATTTGATAAGCCGAAAGTCGGAAAGTGTCATATGCATAAATAAATAAAAGAAACAAAAATCATTAAAGTTACGAGTAAAATTGGATAACTGGTAAGTTGCAGATGATATATTATATATTATGCAGTATTGCAGACTGCAGTTCTATAAATATTACCATTAGCAAAAACCTAAATTGGATCAAAAGTCTAAACAATAAATATCTCTATTGCCTTAATAACAAATCTTTGGGTTTAAGTTATATTTTTTTGAAAACTGGAGATGAATGATATAGGTAATATTATTACCAGTATTAATACAAGTATTTATATACCTAATCAATGATACCTACTATTTAATAGTATTATAATCAATGGTAATATATATTATCTGGGTAAATTATCAAAAACTCGACCAGGCTTGGCCAATTTTTCTTAAACGTTAATAGTTTTTCTTTTATATTGTATGGAAAAATCAGATCAAAATGATTTGATACTATTTCAAAAATACTAAATATTTTATTTCACAAAAACATTTTTTTAAATTGTCCCCATTAAATCATCAGAAGTTTCTAATGAAAAAATGAAACTCAAAATTCAAATTTGTATTGATTTGCTTGTAAGTACCTACTAAGGAATTTGATTTTTGGTGTTTGTTTTTATTTATATCAAAACACATTCTAATTTCTAATATTTAGGTAGGTTCGCGGGTTCGCCTACCCATTACTATTGTTAATAAGTAAAAAACTAATAACATACCTACATAAATATAAATTATATTATACGAGAGATAAATCGGTGATTGTATGAAACATAATAGATACCCAGTACCTAGGTACCAAATGTAGAAAGTTGGATAAACGCAATTTAAATATTAATAATAATAATTATTAAATTGTTTGTAGACCACGTCACGTTTTTTTGTTTCACCTAATTCGAACTAAATTTATAAACCATGGTCATCGAAAATTAAATATTAAAACGATTGTCCGGTTTTATTGAAAACACGGATAAATACTATAATTTTTATTGTGCCTATTATATGTGTCACAATGTGTACCCAAATGAAACAAAATATTCTTAATATATTTTATTATATTTTACCTGTTGGAGGTTCTGGTCTAATCGAATGGACACGCTTTACTGTTACGCATTTGAATGCAGTACGTTCCTCGTGCGCTAAAACACAACGGAAAACTATATTTAAAATATACATTAACATAATATAAACTTATTTATTGTGCGATTGACGATTATTTTTTCAGACCAAAAAAAAAAAAAATTACCTACTATAAACTAAACGGTTTTTTTACACAATTCAATACGACAATACCTATTATAATCACCGTAATAACTATATCGAGTTTTTATTCACGTAGGTAGGTAAAATAATAAATAATAATAACGATTCTTTTAATTTTTAACTTTCATTTTCTTGAAAAGCTAAGGCCTAACACATTTGGCATGGGTAAGTTGGGTACGCATTATTACTCCATTCCGCTCATCAAAACTATGAATATGCAGAGTATATATAGTATGTACCTACCAATGTGGTAACTACCTACTCACTGTAAATTATTATGAAAAAACAACTACTAGTATGAGATTTGGTTTTTGTATATTTGAAATGATCAGGAAAAACGATACTATATATTCTACTTTGGAATACGAAATTCAAAATGTATTCTGTACCTAATTCAAAAGAGTAAAATGTAAATAACGTTAAAAAATTAATTTTTTTCACAAATGTTGTTTCGTTATGATTTATAATTTGGGTAAATTCGGT